GTGATATTGTATCAATACAGGGACACCAAAAGTTCATATTTTATGAAATACATTAAAATACTTTGGAATACTACAAACAAGAGAGTTCATATCACTACTTCCCTCCTTAGACAATCTTAGCAGAGCAGATTCACATTAAATTGACTGAACTGACAAAACATTGGACACACTTAGCGTTACAAAGCTACCTCCTAGTTCAGACGGAGCTACTGGTTCAGTCACACAAGTAAAAATAGGACAGCAACCTACTTGCATCTGTCTTATGGCAACATTTATGGCAGGTTTTATTGTCAGTGTGTATGCTTGAAAGTTTCACTTTGTTTTCACTTTGAAACAAAACCCCCAAAAAATAAAGTGAAACAATTTTATCTGATTGAATAAAATCAGTATTGACAAAGAGGTGGCTGAGGTAGATCAGGTCATCTACTAATCGGAAGGTTGGTGGTTTGATTCCTGGCTGCTCAGGTCTGCAGGCCAAATATCCTCAGGTAAGATCAATGTGAATGTGTGGATTCTTAGAAAGCACTTAAGCATAGAAAAAGTGCTTGTATGAGTCCATTAGCATTTACAGAGTTTAACCCTCTCGGTCATAGATATACCTTTAAAATTAATTCACCTTAAAAAACTGATTGACTTTATAGGTATTTTTTAATTTTGACATAGTGTATTACCCTAAAATCACACAAAAATGAAAGAAATAGATTTCTTACTATGAAAACCACAAACATGTTTAACAAATCAGTTTTCCCTTCAGCCATTAAATGGACAGGATTTTGTAATTCATACCATAATTGCATTGTTACCTGACACAGTGCGCTGGTAACTGTTGAGACACGTTTACTTACATACATATATATCCACATGTACAATGCAGCTCGATTTGGCACCAGTGTTTCTGCCGTGATCAGCTTTCCAGCTGCCTCCACGCTCCTCTCCCGTCCCTGGTGTCACTAAAAAAGGGAAAAAAGTTCATCTACCTGATTACCTCAAGTCCGCTGTACCACCTATCCCCTGCAGCAGAGTCAAAGACTGGGCAATGGCATTTTTTAAATAACTATTTACAAAACAATCAGGTGTCACAATAAGATTCCACCCAAATTATTTGTGCCACTCCAAAAAGTAGTTCCTGTCATAAGTAGAAAAACTAAACTGTAAAGGTGGTGAGTTGTGCCACTGTGGAAAATGGTAAACACTTATGGTAATGGGGTGAGACATTCAGAAACCTCTTTCTTCACTCAAATCGCATGTTTATTTCCTGCTAGGATCCCCGCTGGTGAAGAATCTAACTGTTGCCATCCTCCAGCTCAGTGAGTCTGGTGAGCTAACATACCTGCGTGAGAAGTGGTGGGCCAGCAGCTGTGTTGGCACTGGTGGAGCCCACATCTCCGAGGCCCTGCAACCCTATGACTTACGGGGCCTGTTCCTCCTCCTGGGACTGGGTCTGGGCATCGGGCTCCTGCTAGCCCTGCTGGAGCTCTTATCAAGGGCCCACAACCAAGCTAAGGATGGCAAGGTAGGAAAGAATATCTTAATGTAATCATGGCATGGAATGTTTTTATCCTGTAACATTTCTTCTGTTCTTTGGCAGAAATCCTGCTGCTTGGTGTTGACATCAGAGCTGAACCGGAGGTTTGGCAGTGGAGGGGAGAGCACAGAGCACGACACCTCAGACAAAAGCAAAGCCTAAAGAAGAAGCACCACGTTGTCATTCGATAAGATAGTGTTAGAGAAGTGAACAAGCTGAGAGCTTTCTGTATTTCCGTAGTAACAGTCGCATATTGTGTTGTATTTCAGTGGGTTTTATACTTTGGTGCCCAGTTTGAACAACTACCAGCAGCAGTATATTAAGCACCAAACCCACAGGTATATTTCAGACTTAATATTATAATCAGTCTGTCTTGTTAGCTGTTTAGCGTTGTTTTATTATCACATATTTACATCTCACATCTAACACCTGAAGTTCTTCTGTCACAGTTGTAACCTGGTCTTACTATTTGCTTGTATATTCCAAATAAATACTCCAATATCCTGCCTGCTCTGTTTTTCAGTGTATACAACTTTATTGTTCATTGTAGAGAGGAGTTTCATTTATTAGAGCAAACATTAACACCACCTAGGGCCTGTACTAATAACCAAGTTCAACATACCCAGGACATCCAGCCTTTCCTCATCTTCATCCAGCACATGAGAGGCAATACTGAAAGAAAATGATACAAACAGATCACCACGATAAGGCTTGGGAAGCTAGAAGGGGAAAAAGTCTGAGCATTTTATTTTTTCTGTTGGCTGGCACCACAAATAAAACCCTGGGACACCATCACACCACTAGTACAAAACATCAAGTTGCAAAAACAGAGAGAGAGGAGGAGAGAAACCCCCACAGACCTCGACACCTGACCCAGAGGCAGAAGTCACTGGCAGAGGCCTTACAGTACAGCAGATGACATCCAAGACGATAAGAGTGGTGAAAGTGATATTTTGTCTTTCACTTTAGTTCATATAAGTACAATGGCTCATTTGTTACTGTAGCTAACTCAAAAAGTAAAATTTTAGACTTCTTTGTAACCTTGACTGTCAGAGGATGATATGTGGTCATAGTTGCTCCAAGACTGTAAGATCAGCAACTACTAAAGTAAATTAAATAATAAAATACTAATAGATTGTAGTGTGAAATAATCATCACCTGAAATGGTTTCCAACAGTCTTGAAGGAGTTCCCAGAGATGATGAGCACTTGTTGGTCCTTTTGCCTTCACTCTGCGCTCCATTTCATCCCAAACCATCTCCACTGGGTTTATGTCAGGTGACTGTGGAGGCCAGGCCATCTGGTGCAGCACTCCATCCCTCTCCTTCCTCGTCAGAAAGCCCTGACACAACCTGGAGGTGTGTTTGGGGTCATTGTTGGAAAATCAATCATGGGATGGCATGTCGCTGAAGGATGCTGCGGTAGCCATGCTGGTTTCATTGTGCCTTCAGTTTGGAATAAATCCCCAACAGTCTCACCAGCAACCCCACACACACACACACACACACACACACACACACACACACACACACACACACACACACACACACACCATCTCCTCCGTGCTTCACAGTGGGAACCATGCATGTAGAGACCATCAGACCAAAGCACAGATTTCCACTGGTCTAATCTCCATTTCTTGTGTTTCTTGGCCGAAACAAATCTCTTCTGCTTGTTGCTTTTCCTTAGTCGTGGTTTCTTAGCAGCTATTTGACCATAAAGGCCTGATTCACACAGTCTTGTCTGAACAGCTGATGTAGAGATGTGTCTGCTACTGGAACTGTGTGGCCAAAGGTTTGCATCGCTGTCAACAAAGCAAAGGGTGGCAGTGTTAGAAATCTAACCCTAATGATGTTGTGAGCCCTAGTAAGGTAGTGCTTTATTGCAATGTCCTTAATCGGAGAGAGTGAAGTACCGATAATTTATGCTGTTGTCCTCACCCCTGCCTGCAGTGATTTCCAGTCAGAGGCACTGCGGGCTCCCGACCAGAATGAGAAGTGACACGTCAGAATAAATTCTATTTCCTAACTGAATCGTACAGCTTCTGAGAAGAGAAACTAATTCCTCAGGATCACGATGCACTACTTTGGTGAAAAAACAACGCAGCAACACTTCCCTCTCTGAGCAACACTGACTGACTGACTGACTGAGACATTTTTTTTCTCAGAAGCAGGACAGTTACTAAGTCATAGCTGACGTGCAATAAAAAGGAAAAATGTGAAAATGATACTGTTCCTGAACAAAATCCTCTAAACAAAACCTCTGTTCTTCACTATTTAGTGTTTTGTTTGAAGTATTTTTTTAAAGCCAAAACAAATAGCTTAGTGAAAGGGAGAACATTTTTTTTTTATATTTGTATTGTATTACCTGAACAGTTATTCTACCTACTGCTCTGCTTTTGTTGTTATAGTTAAACAAAAAACCTAAAGTAAGATAACAAAATATTTTCTATTTATTTAAAACTTTGCCCAAATTCTGTCCTGGCTTTTATCTAATTAATAATCCAAGGGGGAAGCTCCCCCTTTAATATATTCTAAATACACTGGATACTACCTGCTCAGTACCAATCGTTAGAAAAGTCATAGTGAGCATTAAACGGCTACAGAACCTGCTTAAAGTTAAAAAAGAAAAAGAAGTAAATAATAAACTTATTAAACAAAATTGACAAAAATTAACTGAAAAAAAAATTTCTTCAAAAAACATTCTCCCTTAATTAAGAAATAACTATACATTGACTTTAATGTACATTTTTTTTATCTTTATTTTAATTTTTTTTACTGAGTAGGGAAGTCTGTGAACCCAAATTACACTTTAATTGAACATTAAGATCCTGTTTGTTTACTGATGGAGCCGGAAAAGCAAAGAAAAAAGAAGTAAAATCTATCAACATCACATTAAACATAAATCTGTAAAAGAAAAGTCTGGACTGAGTTTGCCTGACTGTACATACGTGTGTGAAAGGCTGCTGTAGAAAAAAGTTACAAAACTAACTTTCAGTACTGAAAGTTAAGTATTAATAGTATAATTAAGTACTTTTTTATTTTTTTCAGATTTGCCAGTTATATTAAATGTGAATTACTGAATTTGCAGAAGCAGACAAAAATAAAGGTTTTATTACTTGGACACTGACAGGTTGAAACTTCGAAATGTTAAACAGAAGTGCTGTAAACATAGAGCAGCCTGTGGATCCCTGACCTTTTATGAAATGTCTGCACATACTGAGCATAGGTAAAACTATTTAAATTGGTTTCCCCACACCTCACTCTTTTGTACACAAACTGACATGGGCTGATATGACCACTTGGAGGTGCTACAAGATTGTTTTTGCTGTGAAGCTCAGCAGGATTCGACTCATGCAATCCAATGCTTTTGTGAGGTGGAGTAAAGAACTGCAACTCAGTATGTAAAGACAGTATCAAAGACAGGGAAATGGATTGGATCTTTTGCTCTAGTTGATCAGATTGAATCCTTGAATGTAACATTTTTTTCCTTCTTGTTATCCTCTTGTTAGATCAGTGGTAAAACAAGTGAACAAACAAGCTCAATAAAAAGACTGCAATGGAGCGAAAATGCCAAATAGTTGTCAGGTATTGTAGACAGGTACAAATGTCTTGAGTGACCCCTAATTTCTTTACATTTTGCAAGGTAAATAAACAAAAAAAAGTGTAATATAACTCAAAACATGTTTTATATTTCAGATTCTGCCGAATACCCCTTTCCTTTGATTCCTGCTTTGCACACTCTTGGCGTTCTCTCCATGAGCTTCATGAGGTCGTCTCCTGAAATGGTTTCCAACAGTCTTGAAGGAGTTCCCAGAGTTGGTCAGATAGCCCTGACACAACCTGGAGGTGTGTTTGGGGTCATTGTGCTGTTGGAAAATAAGTGATGGTCCAAATAAACACAAACCAGATGAAGAAGAATCAAGCTTTAGTCCTCACATGCACAATCATACAGAGTACAACATGCAGTGAAATGTTTTGTGTCTGAGCTGCAGACAGGATGCAGATCTGGCCACACCATTCTAGGGCTAGGTTTTTAGCATGGGTGGGTCTAGCCAGGACCCTTACTGGATAGGAATTGAACTTATGATTCCCAATCCAAAGATGTATAGTTTTACCACTACATTATCCAGCTGCTTCAAAATTAGTGATCGATGAGGTGGCGTGAGCTGCAGGATACTGTGGTAGCCATGCTGGTTTAGTTTGCCTACAATTTTGAATAAATCCCTAACAGTGTCATCAGCAAAGCACCCCCACACCATCACACCTCCTCTCACATTCTTCACTGTGGGAACCATGCATGTAGAGACCATCAGTTCACTTTTTCTGCAACGGACAAATACACGGCGGGTGGAACCAAAGGTCTCAAATTAGATTCTCAGATTAGACTCATCTAATGCCCATTTTTTGTATTTCGTGGCTCAAACAAATCTATTCTGTGTCTTGCTGTCACTGTACTGGGTCTGCGAGCCAGTATTTGGGTTTCAGATTCTGATTTAATATTCCATGACTACTGTTATTCCTGGTTTTGGTTATCTTTATTTCTTATGTTCTTAGTAATTAGAGTCCTTCGTTCCTTAGTATTTATGTTAGCCTGTGTTTTGTGTCTGTTCCCATGTCTACTCTGTACTTTTCCTGTGTCCCACTTTCCACGTCTGGTCACTCTTGTCTCCATGTTCTCCCTGTCTCCCCAGTCAGTCATGTCTCTATGTCTCAGTGTCTAGTCTGTATCTTTGTGAATGTCTGTTCTACTTTGAAAGTCTTGTGTGCTATGTTAGTGTTTTCAGTTTTGCTTCCTCCCCATTTCATTATGTTTGATTCAATTACATTCAGTTTTATTTGTACAGCGTCAAATCACAATAACACTCTGTCACTTTGATGACAGTGGGAAGGAAAAACTCCCTTTTAACAGGAACAAACCTCCGGCAGAACCAGGCTCAGGGAGGGGGCCATCTGCTGTGACTGGTTGGGGTGAGAGAAGGAAGACAGGATAAAGACATGCTGTAAATAAGGGACAATAATCATTTAACTTCACAAACTATTGCTTTCTTTTTCTTTAATAACTCCCAGTTACCCACTGATGCCATAACATTCCAGTTTTTTTATTAATACACCATCTGTCTTATCATCTGTGGATGTTATGATTTTTTCTATTAAGTTTAATAATGCAGTGATGCTGGGGTACTTTAACTTGTACTGAATGTTTATAAGTAGTTTTATGTATCTCTGTGAATTTTTACAGTTGGTTATAAAACAGTTTTTAGTACCTTTAGTACCTCATTTTTTAGAATTGAGGTACTAAAGAGAGAGGTCTGCATTTTCTAAAGAGTTTTTATTGTTGATTTATGCAGAATTTCAACAAGGGTTTTAAAATACCCTCAACAATTTTCAACCACTTTCTTATTGATATTACAGTCCAAAGATTTCTTATGACATATCTTAACAATTTGAAAAACATTCTAGTTTTTCGTCTAAAGCTGTGAGGAATATTGGTGAATATTGGTTTCT